CATGGCCAGGACTGACCCCAGCTCCTGCTGCTGTGTGCCTGACCTGGCTGCCACTGGCCATTGTTCTGGAGCCTCCCCCTGACTCATCTGCCCTGCCTGGGAACCAGAGGCTGATGGACCCTTGGCCACTGCCCACAGGGACCTCCCACCAGGAGACCTGTCCCCACCCAGCCTCTGCCACTGTGAAATGTGCCCCAGCCCCTGGCCCTGAGGGCCCGCACCCAGGCAAGGTGCCCGGCACACCTCTTGGGACACAACCTCCCTCTGCCTTGAATTGTGCATTTTTGATTTTAATTTTATTTCCGATGCTGCTATATCCACCATACACTGGAGCTAGACAAACAGATGTGTTGTTGTTGTTGTCGGTTTCCTTTTCTTTCTATGAAAGAAACTATTTTAGTCATAGCTTGTGAGTTTCAAACCATGGGGAAAGTAAAAAACAAACAAAAAAAAAAGAACTAAATGAGCCTGGATTGTACTGGATTTTTGGCAATGGGTTGGTGAGGCACAGGGGCTGGATTGGCGGTGGTCCTCTGGGAGGGGAGATGTCTGAAGGCCATGACAGAGGAGCATGCCTCAGGGACCCTGGGGGCCTCTGCTGTGGCCTCCACAGGCCGGAAGTCCAGGACAAGGAAGAGGGATGGCCACCAAGGAAAAGAGGCGGCCCTGAGTCCTGGGGCAGGGCAGACTGCAGACAGACAGAAGGGGTACAGAGGGGTGGGGAAGGCCTGCCTGCCTCCGGGGATGTGCGGTGCAGCAGGGAGACCTCACACAAATCAGTGGTGCCATGGGTCTTCCCCCAGGTCAACTGTAAGCCCCACATGTCCCCAAACATCCACAGTACGCTTCACTCAGTGAACATTCCTGGAGGTCCCCATCATGGCCCAGTCACGGGGTTTTCCAGCAGCCTGGCCTGGCTGGGAGGCAAGAAAGACCACCTCAATTCAAGGCTTGCCAGCTGAGACAGAGCCTGAAAATCAGGGTGACTCTCTTGGGCCTGGCCTCTCCTGCCTCTGGCCAAGGCTAACTTAGACACCACAGCTCACCTGGCTGGAATCCAGCCTGGAGGCCACGAGGAACATCTCATGCTGGCAGAGAGCCACTGCACGAGGCCCGGATCCCCCAGGGGCCCCCACCTGTTCATGTCCACGTCAGGCCAGGGGCCAGAGCTGACCCTGGGTGCCTGGCCTCCCCTCTGTGGCAGGACATAGCTCAAGTGTGCAAGGCTTGGCAGGGGTCAGCAGCTTCTAAGTGTATGGTGGGCTGCGTCCCAGCACCATGCTCAAGACCTGGGGATGAGGATGGGGTGACCCTGCCTTTGGGGCCCCCTACCTCCTTTCAGGCCAGGCAGGGAGAGCCCCAGGGTAAGCGAGGCATCCTTTTGGACAGAGTCCCACTTGGTCTCTCCGTGGCTATTGCCCACCCACGTCCACTCTACTCGGGGTATGTGGGGTCTGCAGGGTTGAACAGCAGTGGGGGCCGGGCTTTCCCAAGGCCACACATTCACCTCTCCAAGCCAGGTGCAGGATCCCTCTTCCTGTCTCTGCCCTACTGTGCCCCATTTGTGTGCCGTGCCAGACCAATGCACAGGGAGGGAAAAAGCAGAGGGGTCAGGGGTGGGGGCACAGGCTGGGATGGGTGAGGGATGGGAGAGAGATGATAGGAAGCTAAGAGCTGAAGACCCAGCCCCCACCCTCTTAGAGGTCAGGCCCAGCACAGCCACCCTGCAGGGGCCATTTGCTGGAAGGGAGGAGGCTGGGGCAGGCTGGAGGAGGCCTCACCAGGGCAGATGGGGAGAAGCCCTGTGCCCGCCAGCTCAGTATCTGGAGTGTCTGGGCCCCAGGGCATCCCTGAGGGCACAGGGGTGAAGAGCCGTTCTCTGCAGAAAGGCCACAGCTGGCTGGACAAGGGCCCTGGACAGGGATGTGCAGACCCAGGGAAGGCAGGGGATCCTGGACAAGGTGGGGGTGCAGATCAAGGGTAGGAAGGCGGTCCCAGACAAGGGGGTGTAGACCCAGGGCAGGCAGGGGATCCCAGACAGGAAGGTACAGACCCAGCGCAGGAAGGGGTCCTGGACAAGGGGGTGCTGACCCAGGGCAGGCAGGGGTACAGACATAGGAAGGTACAGACACAGGGCAGGAAGGGGATCTCGGACAAGGGGATGCAGACCCAGGGCAGGAAGAGGATTCTGGACAGGGATTCACAGACCCAGGGCAGGCAGGAGTATGCAATCCAACAGAGCCCTGTAGGATTAGAGGGAGGGCCATTAGAGATATGCTGTGGGTGGGGAGTCATGGCCTTATCCCATAGGACAGAACCTATGGGGCCAGGTGGGGCAGTGGGGCAGGACACAGACCCTGCCCTGAACTCCCAGTACTCCTCCCACCACACCTCACCGGGCTGGCCCTCCCATGTCCCACCCCAAGGCCATGGCCTCCTGCTGGCTGTGCTGCCACCAGGTGTACTGCAGGCTGGGTTGCCCCTGCTCCAGGGCTGCAGCTGACCACTGGGGATCCCCAGCTGGGGCCCCGGGGGGTCCCCTGGGCCAGGTGGGCTGCAGGCCGATGCTCTAATAAGAAGGAGCCGGTGATTAAGTGCACAGGGCCCAGGCCGAGGCAGGAGCATAGGCAGCCAGCCTCCTCCACAGGGTGAGTCCAGAGCAGGGGAGTCTGAACGCAGCCCGAAGGCCATCCTGGGCTATAAAGCTGGATCAGACACTCGGCACAGTGTCAGGCCCTGGAGGTAGGGGGTGACAGGTGCCCTACTCCAGCCACCCTTGGGCTCCACCCACCACACACAGACAGCGTGGCCACACAGCACCTCTGAGTCAGGGCCCAGGCAGGAGCCGCCCTAATTGGCACCTGCTGGGTACCAGGTGCTGGGGGCTCCACAGATGAAAGGGTTGGAGAGGCGGGTGGGGTGGGGGGCAATGCGTGGGCATGGCCACAAGGTCAAAAGGGAGAATGCAGGGGCAGGGCCACCCTCAGGGGTCAACCAGACCAGGCTCTGTCCCCCAGGGACCCATAGAGGGCAAGGTGCTGACCTGAGAACACACAGCATATCAGGGACCTGGGCAGGCTCTGGCCTCTGGGTGCTGAGTTGAGGCCCCCTTGTAGGCCTGGGAGCAAGACCACTGTGGAGATGGTCTCAGCTCTCCCTGGCTTCAGGGCAGAGAGAGGAGAACCCCACCAGAAGGGGGCCAGGATGGGCTGACCCTGCCCCAAGGGGCCGCAGAGCAGGCCTGGTGTTTGGGCGAGGGGGGTGGGGAAGAAGAGCCTGAGTGAATGAGGAGGCAAAACCCTCAACTCTGCTAGCTGGCCTCAGTTTCCCTCCAGTGCAAGAGGAAGTGGGATGAGGGGTCTCCCCAGGGCCTCTCTGCTCCTGGCTTTTGCGGGTGTGGGATATTCCATCCAGAGCCCTGTCTGAAGCCTGGCCCAGCGCCCCCCCAGCCCTGCCCTGACCCCCACTCAGGAGGGCAGAGCCGGGCAACCAGGCCTGGCCTCTCGGCCTTTCTGCCTCTCCCCCTCTCCAGGGAGTTGACAGCCCCTCCCGAAGCCCTGGAGAGGGCAGGAAATGGGCCCGGTGGGCCTGTTCGCAGGTAGTTGAGACAGGAGAGGAATAACCATATTAAAGGCCCGGAGGTGGTGGGGCCTCACCCCACCAGGCCCCCCTTGGCTCAGCCCCCTGCAAATCTCACACTCCCAGGCCAGCAGCTTTGAAGTCCTGGAAGGGGTGTGGCCAGCCCCCTCCTCTGAGCCCCCACCAGCTCTCCCTCCCCCAGACTCCCAGACTCCCAGTTTCCTCAAGCCACCTCC